GAAATTATTCTAGATCCTTGTGAATTTAGTCAACGATGTCTGTATTGTGATAGTCATCTTTTTTTTTCCCCCTCCGGTACTGGAAACCGAACTCATGACCTTGCGCTTGCCAGGCAGGTGCTTTGCCGCTGAGCTAAATCCCCAGCCCTGTTAGTCATCTTTTAAAACAGAGAAAAATGTTTACAGGAGACCTTCAAAGAAAGGACTAGCCAAACGAAGTGCTGCTTAGTTACAAGGACCGTGCTTTGCATATTATTTGCTAAGGGATAAATTAGTCTTTGAAGGCTAGATAGTCTTTTAAACAAATAATCTAGTCTCCCAAAGCCTTTATCTCCTCATGTAAAATGAGAATGAGCATAAAAATATCCATAAGAGAGGGATTTAGAGTTATGAAGAATTAGTTTATCCTTTCCACAGAAGGCAAGTATGAAGTGACAAAATTGCCTGAAAGTATTAAGGCTGTAGAAGTTAACCAAAGGTAGACAAAATTGGAAAGCATTTATTCTTAGCAAAACTTCCAGAGCTTCATATAGGAATACTGTAGTAGAAGTCCATGGCATTTTTGCATGGGGCCTCTACTCTGACCTCCTGTGCCAGCAATCGTGGCAAGAACTATAGTTTGGAAAGCCAGTAGCTTTGCTGCCAAAGGACTGACTCAAATTTTGACAGTGAATAGAAATCTGTATATGTCTACTAAAAGTGGTGAATGTGGTAGGAAATATATAAATTCAGACCACATGTTTGCTAGTCTGAGATGGTGGTGATAATGGGAAGAGTGGGAGACTAGCCATAAATCACCGAGGCAGACTGGAAATGAGAACCAGGAGAATCTCTTCACACGTCTGGTTTTTTGTAAAAACTGAGCATATGGATATATGAGGGTGGGTGGTGGTGGGAGTGTCAAGCAGAAAGCAAGAGTCAGTGTCAAGGCAGGTTTAAAAATTGGCCAGGCCAGGAAGCCTCCTCCCCCAATTTGATAATCCTGGTTGGGAGGCTGAGGCAGTAGGATCATAAATTCCAGGCCTGCTTCTGTAATTTACCAAGACCCTGCCTGAAAAAAATCGAAAGTCCTGGGAACATAGCATGGTACAGAACTGAGTTCAATCCTTCGTTCTTTGTAAAAAAAAATGTCTGATTAGCCAGATGTGGTGGTGCATGCCAATATACATAGACGATCTTTAGCTTACTTATTTAAAACTTCTGCTTGTTCTGAATCCCTATAATGACTTCAGTTATTATATGATTCTATTTGGTTTGTTTCCATAACTTGTACCTTTTTTATTCATATTTTCTATTTGATGAGACCTCTCTACATCTGTTTGGCTTTCATGATTTTTTCTTTTTTTTCCTTTCTTCCTTGTGGTATGGGGGATTGAACCAGCATGTGATAGGCAAACACTTTACCATTGAGCTTCATGCGCAGTCTTTAGTTTTTTGTATGTAGTTGCCTTTATCTCTTTGAGCATATCATAATTTTTGCTTTGTTATCTTTGTCAAATTAAGTTCAATATCTGGGCTTCCTCCTAGGGAATTTTTTTTTTTTTTTTATTGGACTGGGAATCGAACTTAGGATCTCATGCTTGCCAGGCAGGTGCTGTGCTGCTGAGCTATATCCCTAACCCTTCTAGGGAGTTTGTATTAAGTACTTTTATTCTTGTGACCAGGTCATGCTTTCTTGTTTTTTGCATACCTTTTATATAAACATATACATATGTATATAAATAAATTGATTATATATATTTTATTATATGTCTTATGTATGTTTTAAATTGGGCACTGTGACTATTATAATACAGTAATTCTGGAAGTCAAGTTCTCTCTCCTCTGTAGGATTTATTATTGCTGCTTTTGGTTTCTGCTGTTTCTGAACTGATTTCATAAAATCTGGTCCTTGTATGTAGTCACTGAAGTCTTTGTTTAGTTTAATAATTCAGTAGTGATTTGACAGAGATTTCCTTCCTTATTGAAATTATTGCCTTTTTCTTGGTTAAGTATTTTCCTGATTTCTGTAACCCTTTTATTAGTTCTAGAGCTTTAATGTAGTTGATGGTGACAGTTTTTGTGAGTTTATGCAGTTTTTGTGAAAGAACAGACTTTTTTTTTTTTTTTTTTGTCTGTTTGAGATAGAGTTTCGCTATGCAGTTCAGGCTGGCCTTGAGCTCACTTTGTAGCCCAGGCTGGTCTCGAACTTGCAAAGATCCTCCTGCCTCAGCCTCCCGAGTGCTGGAATTACAGGTGTGTGCCACTACTCCTGGCAAGAACAGATTTTGAAATACCCTCTTTGTAATTTCTTCTGTTGTCATCTAACGCTTCTGAATAACCTGTTTATCAAGGAAGCATCACAAGAAAAGTTATAAAACATTTTGAACTGGACAGTACATATCAATATTTATGAAATGCAACTAAAGTATAGATTAGAAGGAATTAATAACATATAATGCATATATTGTAAAGCAGAGGTCTCAGATTATAGTCCAGGGCAACCTGCATATGCTGCCAGTTTTTTGTAAATAGAGTTTTATTGGCACTCAGCCATGGCAAGAGGGGTGTGCTGGACTGTATGCCAGTAAAACTTTATTTTGTTTTCTGGCTAGAAAGGTGGAGTTTCTGTCAGCGATACATAGCCACCTTGGCTGCTATGTAGTTTTCTGTGACTGGGCCAACTTTCGTGGTGAAGGGGTCAAAAAAAGGTAATGCGTCCTTGCACATTCTTAAGACCACAGAGTTCCATTCCCTCATTCTTCGGCCAGAAGGTTCCTGCATAGCCACCACATTGTAATTCTGCTATTGAGGCAGCATTGAGGATATGAGGGCTAGGAAGAAAAAAGGGAGAGGAAAGAAAACAAAGTGAGAAGATTCTTCTCACATTGTGTCTTGAAGAGGTGCATTTTCCTGGCCCTTTGTCCAGAAGAGTGGCCTTTTCTCTGAATTTTTGCTTGTTGTGCCTGCTGGACAGTTGTGCAAGGGACTACGCTCTACTCCAAGCCAGGAGAGAAAAGGAAAAACAGACACACAGACAAACCTCCAGACAAACCAAGAACACTCATTCCTATTTTTTTGTCATTCTTCAGATTTTTGCTGTGCTCTGTAACCCACCCATTACTAACCTTTTTACAGTCCAGAAGTAATTGTTTTTAGTATGTTGTCCAGAGATTTCAGTTGTAAGAAGTGCCAGTGAAAGCTGTAATAGGCTCACTACTTGTTTGTTGGTATTGGAGGTACATTCATTAGGTGATTCTTATGCTTATTCTTCTCACTGGATCCTTTGGGAGAAGGAGAACTAGATCCTTTGTTTAGGAAGGACAAGCAATTGTTTTCCCAAGACTGAAGATTTAAACATAGTAGATATTCTAGATTAGATGTCTACATCTTCTGATTGTACAGAGGTAAGCCATTTCAGCTCATAGGTATGATAAAAATTGTTTATGTCTTACCTACTCTTACTCAATTTCAAAACTGTTCATGAACTTTATCTACACTCAGATTCTCATGGTAGCCCAGTCAGGGAAAGTGCAAAGATACTAGAGTCCCCTGTATAGTGATACCTCAGTTGTCAAATGGCTCTGAGCTTGAACTTTCCACTACTTGTACAAAAGAGTTGGGATAAAAAGTCTTATTTTTGCAGACAGAGCAAAATTTTGCTCTGTAGTTCAGCTGAAAATTCAAGTTGAAAAAACCTGTACAGGCTCAGAGTGAGTCACGTGGCACTTTTCACCGAGGACACAAAGGGGTGACATTTCAGTCTAAAGTGCCACTCTCACGCAGACAACATACAGCACTTGTGTTAGTGTGTTAAAACATTCATCATTGGGGCTGGGGATTTAGCTCAGTGGCATAGCGCCTGCCTGGCAAGCGCAAGGTCGTGAGTTTGATTCCCAACACTGGAAAAAAAAAAAATTCATCATTGTGCTTTGTGTGTGTGTGTGTGTGTGTGTGTGTGTGTGTTATTTGTGTAAAATATTGTAACCATGATTCCAAAACAAGTTAGTGATACCGGCAATAAAGCTAAGAGGAAAACTCTGAGAACCACAGAAAAGTTAAAGAAATAAAACATTACAAAATTTGTTAAAGTTTTGGAAAAATGAATTTATAAGTGTAGTGTTTTGGGCCTCAGAGCCAGTGTTTTTCCATTATTTTTTATGGGAAAAATATATTCAGTTCTTGAACTTTTCGGTGTTTGAACACCAATTTGGAATGATTTGAGTTGTATAACTAAGGTATCCCTGTACTCTTCACACAATTTGCTGTCCCGTATTTTATTATCTTACATTACTGTGGTACATTTGCGGGAACTGTGAACATTGGTATATTATGTTAATTGAACTCCAGCTTTATTTGGATTTTACCAGTTTTTCCTTTAGTGTCCTTTTCTGTCACGGGATCTGATTCAGGATTTCAGTAGTTATTTTGCGTCAATCTCCTCTGGACTATGGTAGTTCCCCCCTTTTTTTTTTCTTGTTTCTCATGATTGAATATTTTGAGGAGTTCTGATTAGTTATTTTGTAGAATATCGCACATTTGGTGTGTATGTTTTTCTCTGGATTAGACTGGGGTTATGGATTTCCGGAAAAAGGTACCATAGAAAGTGCTTTTCTTATGATTTGTTCTGTTTTTTCTTAAATCGCATATAAAAAGATCACATACTTCCAAGGTCAAATTACAGATCTTTAATCTCATTTGTGTTCTGGTCCTTTTCCTAGTCTTTTCTCTTTCTGTAAAGATAAGCAGTCTTTATTAGTTTTTGGCTTATCTTTCCAATCTTTTTAAAATACAAACAAATACAAAGACACATACATACATGCTGGTATCCCTTTGTTCTTTCCCGCTCCAGTCCATGTTCTTAGCTCCTGGTTAGAGTGATCCTTATCGATGACTTTTCCCTGGCCACTTGTATTCAAAATGATTTTCTTGTTTTAAACAGTTAATTTTCCTAACTAATAAAAGCCTTTTCCTGTGCCTTGGAAATGTTTACCACGTACATGTTTCTTTTTTATTTACAGATATTTTCCAATTTGTCCCTGGACGAACGCTGCCTCTCTGCATCACTGGTTTGCAAGTACTGGCGTGACCTTTGTTTAGATTTCCAGTTTTGGAAGCAGCTGGATCTTAGTAGTCGTCAACAGGTATGGAAGTACTCAATTTGACCTACTCAATTAAAAAATCTCATTCTTGGGGCTGGGGATTTAGCTCAGTGGCAAAAGCGCCTGCCTGGCAAGCGCAAGGTCGTGAGTTCGGTTCCTGGTACCAGAGAAAAACCAAAAAAAAAAAAAAAAAAATCTCATTCTTCAAAAAATCTGTTATGTGTTGTTGTTCAAGGTAGTTAAAATGACTGCCGTGTACAATTTTGTGCTTTCTTAATGTGTTTAAAAAAAAATTGAAGTTAAAGCTAGGTTTTCCTAGTGAACAAGATAGTTTTAAGTATAAATTGGTCGTTTGGGGTTGCTTTTTAGTATTTATCATATTCCTTTATGTCTTCCCCTGTTTTCCATTGATTTTTTTTCCATTGATTTTTAAAATTAGTAAACAGTTCCTTTTTGAGGGGAGATTGTGTTACTTTGATGGTAGAGAACGATGGCAAACTTTTATGTAGTTCTGCCTCAGTGCCATGGACTGTTCTGAGGGCATTATGCATAGTAACTCATTTGATCCTCTGAGCAGTACTGTGAAGAGGTACTATTTCGGTGTTTTATGGATGAAGATATGAAAGTAAAATACGGTAACTCTTCTTTAAAATCTTTCCTTTTGACATATTTTTAATCCTCTTTATTACACAGCAGTTTAATACATTAAATGGTTACATAAATTAGTACAATATGTGGGTTATAGTTTTTTAAATTAGTGTATGTTTCAGCACATAATAGTTATGTTTGTTCTGGGGAATTGGTACTTGTATATAACACATCTTGATAATTTCTAATTCCTTTGCCTCCCTTTGTGTTCTCTCCTCCATCCCTTTTCAGTTTTCCAAAACATTTGCCTTTGTGTTTCATACTACCTCTCCTTAATGTTTTCCTTTTATTTATTTATATTTTTAGATTTCTCATATAAGAAACCATGCAATATTTAACTTTTTATGTCTGACTTATTTTACTTTACATGGTTACAAATGTGATCCATTTTTTTGCAAATGAAATGCTTTCATTCTTTATGATCAAATAATATTCCCTTGTGTATTTACATCACATTTTCTTTATTCCTGTTGACAGATCTCCAGAATTTATAATGCTTATTGCAAATAGTTTGTTGGAACATTTTAGATTCATACTTTTAAAACTTAGTATTTGGCATTAGAAATGCATACAAATATTCAATAAGAATAGGATTTTATTGGAATAATAAACTTACTCTGAATTCCTCCTTGGACTATTACTACATTACTGTGATGTGGTTAGATATTTAGCAATCAGCTTCCAAAAGAATGTTCTGAGTTCTTTTTTTTTCTTTTTTTTTAAATTTTGTCTTTTTGAGACAGGGTTTTGCTATGCAGTTCAGGCTGGCCTTGAACTCACTTTGTATTCCAGGCTGGCCTCATACTTGCAGCAGTCCTCCAGCCTCAGCCTCCTGAGTGCTAGGATTACAGGTGTGTGCCACCACGCCTGGCTCTCAGTTTTGATATTTACCAGTTTCTATGATGTAAGTCATTTTACCCTGGCTAATTTCAGGCTATACATATAATGCCACTGAATTTAGATTTGGAGAGAACTGCACATTGTAGGCTCTTATGAGTCTGTATAAGTCAGCTCTACACCATTGGTAGTTTGTGTGTGATGGCTACATTTTGAACAGATGTTTTCCTGAGCATTTATAGTAAATTGTTCAATTTTTGTTGTCTGCCTCATTTGTAAGGGTTTAAAACAGTTACAGAATTAGGTGTTGCTTGAGTTCATGAAATTTGTGTGCAGAGAGAATGATGAGAAGTCAACTGTGGCTAATAGAGTGAAAAAATTGTGAAGTGATCCACTGGCTCTTTACTTCATTACTCTTCTGTATCAAAACTGTTTACTATGAAATCACACTAAGAATAGCTTTCCTCTGCTGGTAGTAAGTTTTGGAGAAGAAAAAATAAAAAATAAAGGAGAGGTATGTCAGACTTTTAATCTTTTAGGAAGCTGTTTCCAGCAGGCGTAAACAAACATAGTTTCACTTTGGGCTCTTCTCCTGTTACTCAACTCTCCGTTTGGTTTTTCATTTTCCATTTTAAATTTCGTGTGAGTTTTCCTTCTCTGTTATTTTTACCCTAAGGACTTGAATAACATTAACTGTGTTTCCCTTTGAAGTGTGATGATTGGTCAGGGAATATGTAGAGACTGACTTTTTAAAAAATTTAGGTGTCTATGTGACTATTTTACCAGGTGAATTTAGGTTACTTACGTTCTCAGTACATTTTTTTGACGTGGACATTTCTATGGAGTTTTTGGTGTTTTGATCAAGGAGCTGTAAATTCAAGAGTTCCTGCAGTGAGGACCGCAGGTTCTATAAGGAGCTAAATATATTTAAATATATTATATTAATATTAATATATTAATATTATATTGATTATATTAAATATATTTATTGAACTCAAGAATATACTTATATATACTTATACTTACTGGTTTACTATAATGAATACAAATCAGGAGCAGCCAAATGGAAAAGAGCTGTAGGGCAAGGTATAGGGATAGCGTATGCCACCCTCCTAGTACATGGAAGTGTTTCCCAACTGACCCTTTGAGTATCCTTGTTGAAGAGTTTTTTTATAATCTGGACTCCAGCTCCCTCTGGAGGAGAGTACCCTTTAACCACCTGATTACTCTTCATGGTGGCCAGCCGCATCCTGAAGCAGTGTCTAGGGGCAGACTCTGAGTCAGCTAGTTCCTGCCAGCTCAGGTGTGTTCCAAGAACCTGTTAAATAACAAAAGACATGAGCAATCAGGAAATTTCAAGGGTTTTAGAAGCTCTGTCAGGAACTGGGGGACAAAGAGCAAATACATATGTTTTTATCATATCATAATTTTTGCTATGCTTCAGTATTACTGTTTTTCTTTTGTTATGTTTTCATGCTATGAATATTATTGGGGAAATTTAATTTAAAATGTAATATTCTATTTCTAGGAACAATTTAAATTTATTGCCTCTCTTTCTCTCATAGGTCACTGATGAATTATTGGAAAAAATTGCATCGAGAAGTCAGAATATAATAGAAATCAACATTTCTGATTGTCGCAGTATGTCTGATACTGGCGTATGTGTTCTAGCATTTAAGTGTCCTGGACTACTTAGGTATACAGCGTACAGGTGTAAACAGCTTTCTGACACCTCTATTATTGCGGTTGCCTCTCACTGTCCTTTACTTCAAAAAGTACATGTAGGCAATCAGGACAAACTTACTGATGAAGGACTCAAACAGGTAAATTTGAACACTTATACAATGATTTTATTCAGCAATTCAAACTGTTCTTTTGGAGCAGCACTTTAAAAAGTTCTCATATTGAAAATAATGTTACAGACTAAAACAAGTCATCTTTTGTACACCAATGAATGTTTACTTAGGTTTGTGAACTAGAGTGTTTTATAATGTGTATCAGCTTTTATGATGAGGCATTTTATTAATTTATGAGTTTTTAAAAAGAGATTTAGTGTCATATTTTCCATTAAGTAACAGTATTCAGTTTGGATCAGCAGTTTGTGTAGAGCTTTAAAACCGAAGTTTCAATTTTTCCTGTATGTTACTAAATGACATACTTACATGCTTTAAAATACTTGAGTGTTTTAAGACACACAACGGAGGTCCAGATCGAAGAGTATAAAATCAATAAAATCAGTAAAAATGTGGTATTTACCTATGTGTGGCCCAATAGTTTCATTCAAAATGGGGTTATATGTACTTTCTTTTTGATGTACCTTCCGTTAAAAATGGGACTTAAAGCTTCTTCACTGAACCAGTGAAGGTTTTTAAGTTTAAACTTTATGAATTAATTGAAAACTTAGTATTAGAAGAAACTCTGGATACTGTCCTAATTCTGTCCTAATGACTACTGAGTTTGTCAGTTCAGTTTATATATTAAGAATGTTACCAATTTGTGAAGGAACCTATTTCATTACAAAGGCAAATTGTCCAGTTATAGTCATTTATTTTAATAATTTTCCTGGTCTGTTTCTGCCTTCTACAGGATGATTTATGAGCAAAGCATTTTATGAAGTTCTTAAAATATATTAAAGCTAATTAATCACCTATGAGGAAATATACATTTTATGAATGTAGTGTGATTTTGCTTATTTTGATAGAAATTTTCAGCAAGTTAGTTTTACAGTGAAACATTTTCTAAAGGATTACATACACTGTGAACTGGATTAGGCTGGGTGTGGTGGTACACACCTATAATCCCAGCACTCAGGTGGCTGAGGCAGGAGGATTGTTGGGAGTTCGAGACCAGCCTGGGCTATAAAGTGATCGCAAGGCCAGCCTGAGCTGCATAGCAAGACCCTGTCTCAAAAAAACAAAAAAAACCAACAAAAAAAAAGAACTGGATTAAGTGTGTTACATATTTAAACCTTTGTACAACAATAGGTATTAGTTTAGCAAACTTCTGAGAATGTTCCTTATAATGTTTGTGAAAAAGGATGTAAGCATAGTTATGGTTCAAGTAGGGAGAAATTAGAGTGTTCTTTAAGAGCAATACTTACTGTGTCAATTTAACATTATAAATTTTACAACATTGAAACTAATATAGAGGGCCAGGGATATAGCTCAGTGGCATAAGCACTTGCCTGGCAAGCCTGAGGTCATGAGTTCGATTCCTGGTACCAGGAAAAAAAAAAAAAAAAAAAGAAACTAATATAAATCTTCCCTAGACTGTATGATGCTTTATGGTTTGTTAAATTATTTAGATGTTTACTTCAGATTTTCATGGTTTCTAAGTTATGAATCAGCTATACGAGAGGTAGTATTCTCTTGTTTTTTCTTTTTTTTTTTTTTTTTTTTTTTTTTGCGGTACAAGGGATCGAACTCACTATGTTGCGCTTGCCAGGCAGGCACTTATGCCACTGAGCTATACCTCCAGCCCGAGAGGTAGTATTCTCATAGAAATAGTAAAACAATACCTCTCTAATATTCTTCTTCAATAATTTTAGAAGAAAATCATTGCAGTATACATGGTAATATTTTACTGTACTTAAGACTGTGGTAGCAGGGTGTATTCTATTTTAAACTTTTTCTTCTGATGGAGTACTGTTACAGGTATAGTAAAGAGAGTATATATATATCCTTATGTGCAATGCATATTGATATCTATTTTATTCTTTGTTACTGTGTTAGATAAATGTTGGCCTTGACCTCTCTACTTACTAAATTAATTTTATGACCCAGTGGTATTTGATAAACTCTTCCGTAGAGTTTATTATGATCTCAGTAAGCTAACAACTTTAAGATTTATAATAAAGTTGTAAAAACCAAGAATAGAGTTGTTCATAACTGATACATTTTCCTGAGATTATTACTTTTTCCTAACTTAGTAACTTGGCACTTGACTGACTTGTTGATTCTACAGATAATTTTTTTCTCTTCTGTCAGAAAAAACTGACAAATGTTTTAGAATAGTATATATGCATTTTATTGATAATAACTTTAAAATATAGTTGGTTCATAAATGCTATGATTTTGATTAACTTTAGCAAATACCAGTATATTTGCTTTTTGAATTCTACTAGTTTGCAAAAATAGTTATTTAAAGCATTTCACTTTGGAGCTCTAATATATAATTTAAGATTTTAAGTAAGGTTTTAGATTCTGCTTAACATTATTTCATGAGGCAGCCTGTGTGCCACTGAGCTATATGTTTTACAAACTTATTGCTTATGCTTTTTGACCAAAGACTGTCTTTTTGGCAAAATACCACCTTGATATATTGACACTTTTATTTCCATGAAAGTCATATCAAATAATTTGGCCAGTGGAACAGTTTTATTAGTGCATTGTATACCTATCATAAACATCCTATAAAACTCTAATTACATATCTGGGATATGTGTATGTGCGTGAAGGGCTGTGACTGGTGCTTATATATCTGTTTCACCTAATTTAGGACTTTGTCAGGGACAAAAAGCACTGGGCATTGATTGAAAACATTATAAGGGAAATGAAAAAAACTTGCAGGTGTTTTGTGTAGAAAATTATGGTGAGACATGCAGTACACTTCCTGAGGCCTGGGGAAAAGCATTAGGCCTGGGTGAACAAGAGTTTTGTTTTGTGGGGCACTTTGGGCATTAAGGTATTTAGAGCTCCGGTATGTACAGGGAAAGTTAGAAAGCCACATGCATACCCAGGGTAGGACACATGCTTAGAAAAACACAAGAAGACTGTAAGTCTCATCATTGGCTGCTTTCTGGGTTCAGTACAAACAGGAACTAAAGGACAAGGTGAAAGCAGAATCAGAGTCAGCATTCGACACAGATGCATACCCACATACCCGTCTTTATGGTGCCGCTAATCACAACAACTAACGGCCAAGGTCATAGATGACATGGACCCACCACGAAGCTAGTTAGAAAGAGTAGGCAAAATGTTTTGTTTTATCTTAGTTTGTTTTTAAGCTTTTGGATTTAAAGGAAATCACTTTCAAAATACTGACTCTTTAACAAATTGTTCTGAGAAAAATGAATATATGTAGAAGATTGAAACTAGGTCCTTGTGTCTCACCCTGTATAAAAATGAACAAAAATGAATCACGTTAATAGATGACCTGAAACTTTGAAACTACCAGACAAAAATATAGGGTAAACATTTCAAGCTACAGGCGTAACACTGACTTCCTAAGTAGGACTTTACAGGTTCAGGAATAATAGCAAGAATTGGGAGCTGGGATTGCATCAAATCAAAAAGCTTCTATGCAGCAAAGGACATAGTGAAAAGACAGCCTACATAATAGAACATTTTTCGTCAGCTGCTTTTCTGACAGAGGATTAATGTCCAGAATGCTATAAAGAACTTAATAAATTGAACACCAGATGAACGAGTAATCCAATCAGTAGATGGCAGATGATCAGAACTTCTCAAAAGAGTTGCAAATGGCTAAGAATTACGTGAAAACACTGTCCAACATCTTTAACCATTGTGGAAATACAAATGAGAACAACATTGAAATTCTATCTCATAGTAGTCAGAATGGCTATCAGAAATACAAAAAATAATAAATGCTGATGAGAATGTAGGGAAAGTGTAACTTTTGTACGTTGTTGATGGATGTTAGTATGACTGCTATGGAAATCAATACAGAAATTCTCCAGATCAAAAATAGAACTACCGGATGATCCAGCTATACCACTGCAGTGTCTTCTTGAAGTAATCAGAATCAGCATTTGACAGAGCTACTTGGTTGCCTGTCTTTACTGTGCCACTATTCACTATGGCTCTTATTGAGCCATCAAGAAGAATAATGTTATTTGTAGGGAAATGGATGGAACTACAGAGCATATAAAGTGAAGGAAGCCAGTCTTAGAAAGTCGAATATCTTATCTTTTCCCCATGTGTGGAATCTAGAAAACAAAAGAGAAAAAGACATCAGTGTAGAAGGGAGACTATTAGAGAAAGAGGAAGGGGTGGAGAGGGGAAGACAAGGGAGGATAATGGGGAGGTGGCTGTGATCAAAATATATTTCATTCATTTATGAAAATGTCAGATTTATTCTGTATAGTATGTGCTAGTAAAAAAAAACAAAAGAAATAATCTTGGGCATTGTGACAAGAAAAAAAAACAGTTGCTGAATGAGGCTGTACCTTGTATAACCAAAAACAGCTAACTCTGGGAAAGAGGGGGAACATCTAACTTTCTAAGGTACCACATTATGTTAGTGCCTTTATTGTACATTTTGCTACAAATTCAAACCAGAGTAATTTGATAAGAGATATAAAATGCTTTCAAATTAGAAGTAATATAATTTCTATTTGTAGATGTCATGCTTTTATGTATAAAAAACCATAATTCATAACCAAGCGATTTGAAATAAATATTTTCAGTAGAGTACCAGGCTACAAAATATTTGTTGTATTTCTACATACTAGCTATTGAGCAACTTGAAAGAAACCCAAACAATTCTATTTATCATAATACTCCAAATTATAAATTTCCCTTTGAATGCTTCATTCCACACATTGTGACATGTTGTGCTTTCATTTTAGCTTACTTGAAAATATTTCTTAGAATTTCTTTTGAGGTTTTTTCTTTGACCCATTTAGAAGTATGTTGTTTAATCTGTTAAGTATTTTGGGACTTTGTAGTGATCTGTTACTGTTTTCTAATTTAATTCCATTGTTGTCTGAGGGCAGATACTGCACAGTGTCACATCTTTCCAGTTTGTTAAGTTTGTTTTATGTCATAGAATATAGTCTTGGGGCTGGGGATTTAGCTCAGTG